GGAGAATAGATGTACCATGTTTGTTTAAAAAATATTGTCCAATAAATATTATTATTCAGCATTTTAGTCGTGATTAGTCACTGTACAAATACTTTTTATACCCACTGTATGTATGTAGGTTGTATTGGTTAAATCCCAGACAAGTCCCCAATTTTATAGATAAAAATAATATCAAACCATACGTGGTTTAAAGTAAACATAAAGTTTATTAATATAGGAATTAAAAAATATTGAAAAGTCCCAATATAGTGATAACAAAAGATATTAATCTCTCACTGGACGCTATCACAACTCACTACTCGTTATAATACTTTCTAGATCTATACGCTCTCATAAAAGTTACTCGCTATATAATTTCCTGACTATTTACTATTCTCTTGCGACTAGCTACTCTCTAGATCTGTACTCTGACGACTCGCTACTCTCTCGAGCTTCATTTTCTGTTTCGCTACTCTCTAGCAGAGTTGGCTAAGTAGCTGCTCCCTCACCTCTTACTTTCCTGATCGTTAGCATTATTCCCTCCATTCCACTGATTTCTCCATTTCCTAGGGAAATCAACAACGAGACAATGAGAAAGTGAGGCTCATGCACGGCGAGGAAATTTCAGTGTGGTGAAATCGATGTAGTGAAGAGATCGCTACAGTGGAGAGGGTAGCGCTAGCGATTAGGAAAATTGGGCAAGGGCTCAAGAGCCGCTATTTAGCCAGTTCTGCCAGCTTTAGGATATGTATTCTCGAAACCTTCGTCCACGCACGCGCGCACACACACACATACACGCAACCATACGCTAATATTTTAAGTCCCAAACTTGGGCGGCTTTCGCTATAATAATTGTCTCGAACGTGTAGAAGGCACCTTGCTCTTGGGCAGGAAGAAGTTCCAAGCAATTTTCCAGATTTCCTCACCCCACATATAATATCATTACATATTTAATATATCGCATATAATATAATATCACTAATTAAAATATAAATAAAATATTAAATAATTCATTTCCCTTTTACAGAATTATTGGACGAGCAGGCGATCGATTCAAGAGAACCAATTGTCTTTCCAACAAAACAATTTTCAGTACGAACAGGTCTCCAGCAAAGCTGGAGTTGTGATTACCAGTTCTCGCCAGAGCCATCGAAGGTTCGTTCGAGTATTCCTGACGTGTTTAAATGTCTAATATCCGCACATTGTACATGTCATTAAAAAAAATGCACGTGTTCAATCTGAAATTTTTCATTTCCCGAGGATTATGTGATATATCATCGTCTTTTATGAAATACGATCAAAATATAATTATAGTAATCTGTTGGAAGAAAATAGTAATGTAATTTTGAAGGACAGTAGCAGTAAAATATATTGATAAAAAAACTGGTCGATATCATAATATTAATGATGAATCTTCTAATCGAATACGCATACCTCGAATATGATTAAGAATACTGATTCTGTACAAACGTTTTGTATTTTAAAACAGAAGAAAGGAAAAGGACAAGAAAATTATTTCTATTTCGTTTCACAATATCGCTACTGAATGTTTGATTGTAATAATTTGTGATATTTTTCACTTTCTTACGCATGAGTGCTTTGTCTCGATATTCTTACGTGTTCTCTTCTGTCTATGAAAATCTTCCTTATATTTCTTATTTTTGTAGACGATTGTAGAAGATATTCATATTCTTCTATCCTCGTTTGATAAATACTAGTCTTTATTATTTATACAATATTACAACCATGACAATTGGAAAGTTTATTTTTATTACGAAACATAATATCTCTAATTAACGACTATACTATGTCTCTAATACTTTTCTATTTTACTCTAATGTAGCTTCTTTTATCTCTATATGTGAGCACAACTGAAACACTAATTGTAAGATTCGTGTAAAATTATTCAATTGTTTTTAATGACAGTTAATATTAAGATGTGCAAAGAATGAACGTAGAAATATTTTGAATAATTAGAACCAATATATATATATATATATATATATATATATATATATATATATATATATATATATATACACATACAGGGTGTCCCAGTTTTTTCTGGCATAACTTTTCCAGCGTGTTCTACAAGCAAAAGTAAGAAAAAGATGTTATATGAATATACGCTCTTAAATGTTTTAAGAAGTTATAACTAATAACACAAAATGATCATGAACTGGCGTTTCGTCAACACAGCGTATGAACGTATCATCAATGTTACATCATGAAACTCACATAATCTCATTGAAGCTTTGTGTTTACTAACAAAACTAAATCCAACTAAACTAAACAAAATAATAGTAGACCTTCTTAATGTAATAACATTTCAAAATGACGTTCGTATTACGAATACAGGATCTAACAAAAATTGACTCTATCGCATTATTAATGTCTTCTTCATTTTCTCTAATCGCAGAAAATGCGTCATTAATCCTCTGTACTAACTCACGAGTGTTAATTTGTGCTTCATAAACTTTAGCTTTTACAACCATTCACATGATATCTGGTGATCTTGGAGGCCATGAAATTGGTTCTCCTCGACCTATCCATCGTTGTGAATAATGGTCATTTATCTATTGCCGTACTGGTACTGCATAATGTATTGGACAACCGCCTAATTGAATCCATAAGTTTTGTCGAAATAATAATGGAATATCTCCGGCTACTTCCGTCTCAAATTCGTTTTCTAAGAAATCTAAAAAGGACTGTGCCATTAATCTATCCGGTAAAAAGTGAGATACTAAACATTATTAGCTCAGCAAAAATCAATGACGATATCAACAAATTCAGCAAGAAAACAAAGGAGTTTATGTAAACACAAATAGATATTCATAATACGTTCCTACGTTGTGTCGACGAAATGCCAGTTCATTATCATTTTCTATTATTAGTTATAACTCCTTAATAAAACATTTAAGAGCATATGTTCATATAACATTTTTTTCTTACTTTTGCTTCTATAACACGCTGGCAAAGTTATGNATAAATAAAAAAATATATATATATATATATATATATATATATATATATATATATATATATATATATATATATATAATATCCACAGTTTACTGATCTGAATAATAAACTTTTATTTTAACTTTTATTTAAATAATAATATAAACTTTTATTTTAAGAATCGAGGGCGATGGATCTCCAGTCATTCATTTAACTTACTCGAATAAAAAGCTCGTGAACCCGGTAAAAGTTGAGAGCAGAGATAAGTATCATTTAAAACGAAAATTTCTTTCTAATTAATAATCCACGTATATTTACGCAAATATAAATTTACGCATGAAAATCCAGCAATTGAAATCATTTTCGTTTATGTTTCGGTTATGTTACACGCCGTGAGATATCCATCTGTTTGTTAGACGCACTGAATTTCACCATGCGAAAATATAACACCGTCACAGTGTTGAAGTAAATTAAATAATTAGAAATCAAAGTAAAAGTAATTGAACAATTGGTAAGATATCTGAAGATAAAGAAGTGATCCAAATATTTCAATAGGCTGCCAAATTGTAATATAAATGCATTCGGCATTGTGCAAATTGCGGAGATGATAACGAATATCAAGTGTGTGCAAGATTTGAATTTAGACGTGAATCCAAACGCGCAGGAAAATTATCATTTGCTCTGCTCACCTGGAGGAAGGTGAATAACTTGTCAGATTCGCGCGTGTAAGATTGATTTTTAATAGACAATCGAACTTAGTTTGAAGTACTTGTCACTGAGACTCTGTAAAATAAGCGACGACGGTGTGAAGAAAATTGCGCATGAATTACGATACCGTGACCCACCCAACAGTCCTAAATTAATTATTTTAAACTTGGCGAATAATCATATAACGAAGGATGGCGCTGGTCATATAGGAGAAATGCTTCGAACGAACAGGTCAGTCAATTTTAATTTTATTTAATTTTATTTTTCTTTAATTACTTTTAGAATATTTACTACTACTTATTATTAATTAATTATATTACTACTCTTTAGAATATTTTTGAAACTATTACCCATATTGAAAAATGTTTCAAGTGGGACTTGTTTTAATTGGAGAGGAAACTAATAATTTAATGCAAATGAATTAATAATTTTTTTTCAAATAGAACCAGTTATTTTTTTAACACGTCGATCTAGCTTAACGTTCTCTTTTTACATTTGTAGATCTTTAAGGTGTCTGGTTTTACTTGGGAATAGGATATGCGACGAGGGCGCGTGTTTAATATTACAGGAGCTTAAAATGTATTGCAAATTACTCGAATTAATTCTACGTAAATAGATATCTGTAGGATATGTAAAGTTAATCGACGTTAATATTAACTCGTAAAAATTAGAATTACCTTGAGGCACGAGGAAATTGTTGAAGTGCGCCGTAGAAAGTTCGCTGAACTAGCATTGATGGAGGAATGGGTAATCAGAAATTTATCGAAAATTCGGTTTCGTTCGATTGATAAAAGAACATAAAGAAAAAAAAAAAGGAACAGTGAATTATTAAAAGAAAATAAAAACTAGATGGAGAAGAAGAAGAATGAAGAAATCGACAAGAGTATAAACGAGGAATCATTGAGAAAGAATGGGAAATCTCGAACACGTCAAAACCTCATAAGACAATCTAAGAAATGTACCTACAGCTTGTTTAAATCATAAATGCTAGTAGAGCCTGTTGATATTTTTATTCAGTAGTTTAAGATCTATATTTTATATTTTCATTAACTAGTTTAATATTTATAAGATAGGTTAGAGTTTATAAGATATATAAAATATTCTCTCATACAAAATTCAAATTATTCGATTGTCTTAATGGTGAGTTCAAGTAGTTGTTACAACTTATTGCAACTTGATAGAATAAAATATACCTGTAGATCTTCAAGAAATCTCAAACAAAATGAAGGTAGAAGGATACGCAATTCAAGATTCGGAATCCATGCAGGCAAAGACTGATTTATTAACAAATTTTTTTAATTTCAATATCCTACTCTGGATTATATAAAATTATTTTCAGTATTTTATATTCACAGAAAATCAAAACGATACTAGGATATGAAATGTGTCATCCTCATAAAAAAGAGAGCTTCCCAATGAATGGAAAGATGATGGCAATTGGAAATTTAGAACTGCAATACTTAGATTTGAGCTGTGAATACCACTCTCAATTTATTAACATGTTATTTATATTTATTATTTAAAATTTCGCGTAAACGCACAGAAATCCGCAGTCCGGCAACTAGAAATCTGAAATAACATATTTTCTATTTAGTCAATCGTTTAACGAACGATATTTCACAAGAAATGATAAATTGCCTGTATTATCAGAATTATATGTTACTTGGAGACAGGGGCAAAGGTCTTTTGTACGTTCTCATCGAGGTAATAAAGTAATAAAGTAAATTAAGCTTAAAATTAACTTCTTTCGTTGCTACAAGCCTATTTTTCAAGGGAGGTGACATTGAAAAACAAGGTAACAGAAACTGGAATAGATTCGACGAACTTTTGCGTCAAAGGCAAAGTGGAGAACGTTTGGAAAACGATGCTTATCGAGAATTTGTCTCGCAAGAAAGCGAAATCCTTCGGCGTGGTTTTAGTTCATCTCTCGCATAATTAAAATATCGACGAATAATCTGCGAGTGTTTTATTAATTAATTGACAATAAAAAGAGAAATCTAGGTAGAGATTTCCTTTACATTCTGAATATGACGAGTAATTTATTTTGAAAATTTTATACAGGTGTATAAAATTATATATATTCGTATAAAATAAAAGACAGATCTCAGATCTCAGAATCTGGAGATACGATTAAACTTGGTATAATCACAGACGAGCTTTACTTTTCGGTATTGAAAATTTAACATTGTAATGGGTCGCAAATCATATTGCTGGCGCATTTACTAGTTCCTCAACTCGCCGTTGTTTAACATAGAGTGCGCTAAAAAACCAGTGATTTTTTAGTACGTCGGTACTTCAGGTCACGGGCCAAGAAAGTCCGTAAGATGTAATGTCTATTCATATACCTCGTCTGTGTCATGACAACCTTATCGCAACCATCTTGTATTGCCGGATCTATCGAACGCGGAACTTTACCAGAGAATCTTGTTCGATCGTGAATACCTTCTGTATCAGATTACTTGCAAAAATAAAACTTTTACGGAGTTAATCCTTTGTAGAACGGTATCGTAGGAAACATTCATACCTACACATGGTGCAGCGGAACTTATATGGGTGCGTTTACAATAGACACACATGTAGGTTGATGGTTATAAAATTCAAGTAAGGTTATAAAGGATATTGAAGCAGAAAAGACTGAAGACCTTGCAGCACCTACAGGGCTTTGGCCCAAGTAGACAGAGGAATAAAGAGAAACGTGGAATGAAGAGGAGAGGAGTGGAGCTCCCCTCTCTACAAAAACGTGTTTTACCCTTGGGGTTGCGAAATGTCGGGGAGGGTCCGACATTTTCGAATTACAACCCTGAGGAGGAACGACACCGGGAGTGGCCCCTGGTACCGTGGTAGGAAAAATGAGCCGAGAGGCAAAGGCTTGTTGGAGAGCCTTGCCGCGAAATCCACTAAAGAATCCCGGCGCGTCACAGAACGTAAAATGTAGGGCCACCGTGGAGGTTTTAGTCGGTAAAAATCCGACACTACCCGACTCTCTCCCTCAAGGGAGCCGGGTGTCTTTTGAAGATTTCCTCCACGTAAAAAAAAAAAAAAAAAAAAAATAAAAAAATATATATATATATATATATATATATATATATATATATATATATATATATATATATATATATATATATTTTTTTTAGTTATTTGTAACAAGAAATATTTATTAATATATGATTAATATATGATATGACTAATATTTATTTTATGATATTTTAGTTGCAATTCTTTCTTTTCGATTAATTTTTGCATGTAGAATCATTCCAATTCTATCATAATCACAAAGCTACTTTGCATAATTGTTTCTTCAGGACTTATGTATATTTAATCAATGACTTTGTAAAATATCTAGATGTACTTTTATTCTGCCATTTATTTTATTTAATAAATCAACATAAATAATAATCTTAACTGTATTAAATTTAACGAAACTGAATTAACGAATATTCCTTGTTACAGACAAATAAAAAATATTGAAAACTTTAAGAAATTGCTGCAACTAATATCAATAATACAAAATGTTTCTACAGTGTGCACCTTTTTTATAATATGAATGTTAATAGTAACGAGGAATGATTTACGAATGATTTATAGTTATTAAATTCAATAATGTTTTTCATTTATGTACCGTTTGTCTTTACGAAACGAAATTATATGTCGAAATTCCAAAATTTTAGATCTAAGTTTTAGATCTATGATGTAATTAGATAATTCTATTTATCAGTGATATAATTTAAATCTATACACTTTTTAACAAATACATATATGTTGCGATTTAGTGCGGTAAAAATAATCGATGTTTGAAACGTACTTTCGATTCTTCTATTGGACTTCATTTTTTTCTTATTTGTTTTTAAATAACATAATGTGACTCCCAATAGCAATGTAAATCGCAATGTAATTTCTATCTATAAATCAAAGTGCTTATTTCGTATGCGTTTGTCTGCTGTCTCGAATATACAAACATTCTTTTACAAATATCTCATGAGAATAATTTTTCAATTCAAGATAATATATTGATTGTTTTAATGCATATAATGCATATTATATTTCATACATTGTTTTAAACGATATTTTATGTCACATATAGCGTTGGACCTGTACATGTCTGGTAAGTGTCATCGTTTCTGCTTCTGAAACACTACTATTTTTCATTTTACTTAGCGCATGGCAAAATTCGTTCAACTTATCTGTCTCATGGTCTTATTTAATTGCTTGCGTTCATATAGCACATTGGGAAATTTTGCAATTTGCATTATATTCTTATTAAAGACATTTATTAAAAACTGAACTTGTTGCGTATAAATAATATATCAATTTTTATATAATTTGATCTAAAATTTACAAATAATTAGAATTTTGATAATTTATAATATAAACTGTAAGATAGACAAATTTCTTATATTAGTCCTATTTCAGAGAGTTATAACTTTTGTCTAATTTTTTTTTACAAATTCTCTATTACTCTGAGTAATGAACAAAATTTTGGGAATCTTAGATTTAATTTATTATAAATATATTCTATATCTTAAAAACGAGATTTTATGTGAGGTGTCTAAATTTTCATGGTACAATCGAGAAAGAATAATATTTTTTCATTTAAGTCTTCATTTTTCAAAAAATCGAATTTAAAGATTTATCAATATTATATACATATTTGAATTTGGTTAATTAACTATCGGAACGAATAATCGACAAGAGAATATTTTATGTGCGAAAAATAAATTCAAGACAATATCTTTTCGTCAAAGGCTTTGTTTTTAAGAACATGAACGTTGAATATGTTCTGTTAATAACTGGTCCGCTACTGAATTCATATGTAAATATTTAATTTATTTTTTCGGGAATGAAGCGTTTTATTGAAAATTTGTTTTATTTTCTTACATTTTTGGTTTAATTTCTTACATATAATAATCTTCTCAATTATTTATTCTTATATTATATAATTTAGAATTAGCCATTCAAGTATAATTGAGACGTATTCAAAATTTATTTTTTTGGTCATTTGTAATAATCTGGATAAATAAATATATCCAGTGACACATTTTTCACTGGTTTATTTTATTTTTCATATAAATCTGCAGCTTCTTCAATGAGGGATGAAAGTACATACGAAACTGATACGAACTGAATAAATATATAGAAAATAAAATAAGATAGTAATGATACAACATGATAGTAATGAGTAATCTTGACACATGGTAAAAAAATAGTTATAAAACTATAATAATAAGAAGAATAAAATAAATATTTGTGTTGAATATATATATCAAATTACAAAAATATTTGAAACCATATTTAAAAAAATAATATATTTTGAATCATTTCGTAAAATTAAATATAAAAGTAGAGATAAGTTTGAAAAACATATAAAAAGATAAATATAGAATACAACTTTTATGCAAATTTTACTTTATATTTCTTATATTTTATATTTTATATTTTCCTTAGACACAGAATCATTCTCTTCATTAAACCTAATACTCTGTACTTTAATCACATATTGGTTTCTTAAATCTTTATAATTACACATTTTTTGTTTTTCTGTTTTAAAAGAAAATAATATATATTTAAAATTATATTGACATTTTGTAATATACAAAGCAATTTCCTAAACATTTTGCTACCATACCATATTTATTTCTAGTAGTACTATAGCTAGTAGTAGCTTTCTAGTAGTACTATACTATATTTATTATACCATATTATATCTATTTTATACCTATTTTTATTGTTATGAATTATTGTGCATCATGGCGAGCTGAACGAAATAGAAATAGTTTATACTTTTTGTCTTTATTGATATTGATCGTGGTATAATACTGTTCACCACGATCATAATTAGCAACTGGACACAGCTATTACATCATTCGTTATTAATAAACTAAATAGCAAGGCGCAAGATTTTTAAGTTAAGAAAATCATTCGCAATAGGCTCATTGATTTACTGATATTTTATTACTCAACAGAGTGTTTTACATAATATACAATTTATTTATATTTTAGCTATTTCTAACGATGTAATGAAAAACAAATTTGTTAACTTGTTAAAAAATTTGTCAAATTTATTTGCTTAAAGTATAATAATAGTTGAAATATACTTACGTTTTGCGTAAACTATTTGCTTAAACATATAATGTGAATAAAAATTTAAAAAATATTTTATTTTCATAGTAAACTCAAGTTTAACGTGACTTTTTTTAATAGAAAAAGTTTTTTACATAAATTTTCTTCCACCGTATTATACACAGAGTTCACTTAAAACATTTGTTTATTACATGATTGCAAAATGTTTGAAAAATTGGATAGGATATTAAATGTAGTAAATTTTTCGACATGAACCACATTTTCAACGATAAAAGTATCATGTAAATTGTTTTTCCGATTCAATATTTGCACAAAGTCCAAAATGGACTTGCCATATCGTTTATGCATAATCGATCAACTATTATGAATATCGAAAATCTTTAATAAAAAATTATTAATGTGTAGCAGCTCACGAAAATACGCTTGGAAGAACTTCCAAATTGAGGCATGACTATCATGATCATACTGGTAAAATTTGAAATTAATTTTGAAACTAATGGAAATGTGTACGGTCAATCAGAAGAATTCATTTGTTAGATATTAAATATTTGAAACAGAAAAAGAGGGATTTTGGACACTTTACAGACCTTAATTAATTTTAATTTTAATTAATTAAAATAACACTATTTCTAAAATATTGATTATGTCTAAATATTGGATTGTCCAGAAAGTTCGTGCCGATTTTCACTAGATGGTATTGGAACATATCTAAATATATCAAAGAAATTGCTTGAAATAAATTGATGTGTGACAGTTTTTGTACCCTTTTGAAGATGGAAGAAAACATAGTACATTTTAGATATTTAATGCTTTCTATTACCGAAAAAGCAAAAATATTACACAGCAACAAATAAGATATGTGCTGTTTACAGAGAAAGTGCTTTAGCTGAAAGAATTGTTCGCAAGTGGTACCAAGAACTTTCAGTTCCATCACTGATGATGACCAAATCAAGACACTGATGGAATATAACACGTAAATTAGCAGAGATACTAAAAATATTAAAAACCACCGAACATTTAGTGAAACTTGGTTACGTAAATTGTTACAATGTATGAGTTTCGCACAATTAACCGAGAAAAATTTAATGAATCACATCTCCATCTGTGACTTGCTCTACAAACGTAATGAAAACGCACCGTTTTTGAAGCAATTAGTAACGGGTGAAAAAAAAGCCAGTTTTCATCCGAAAAAAGTCATGCTCTGTGTCTAGTGGGATTGGAAAAGAATCCTGTATTATCAGTTTCTACCAAACGACTAGTCGATAAATTCAGATAAGTACTGCTTGCAATTGGACGAATTAGATTCAGGAAAAGCGTCTGGAATTAGTTAGTAGGAAGGGCGTCGTGTTCTATCAGGATAATGCCAGATTTCATGTCTCTTTGACTACCCGACAAAAATTGTTGAAACTTGACTAGGACCCGCCATACTCACCACTGCATATTGAACACTGTACTTTAGTGGCAAAAATTTTTTTGGTTGACATAAAGCTTGAGAAATTTTTCATCGAGGAATCTGAGAAGTTGTGGAATCTTGATACTATGAATGGACATTATGATGGAATCTTCAAGTTGCATAAAAGATGGAGAAAGGCTGTAGAACAAAATGGTGAATAATAAATAATAATAAATAAACATCGATACATAATTAAATAAATAAATATCGATACATAAAAATTTTGCACTTAAATTTTCCTTAAAAATTGACACGAACTTTCCGGACATCCCAATAAATCGGAAATATAATATTATGAAAATCTATATGCATAAAATTATCATATGTATATATACAGTATACAAGTATACAATATATAAATATGTATATATATGTGTACTGTATATATATATATATATATATATATATACATATACACACACACACACACACACACATACATACACACAGTATAAAATATCATATGTATATATACAACAACAAAAATTTACTCTAATTGAAGTTTACAAATTTTTATGCCAATTTATATTTTTGAGAATTTAATTAAAAACATAGAAAATTGTTTTACATGCCAAATATTGGCAGAAAGTTTTCGATTGAACCACAAATACCTTAAAATGACTAAAAACATATAACATATAACATTTGAGATATAAAATACTCAAATTACGTTTATTTAAAATATGTAAAAAAATGAAATCAGCAATTTCAGTATAATTTATAAAAACAAAAAATTTGACTGTTTTTGAATATTTTCAAATATTTGCATTTGTAAACTATTGATAGTATTAAAAGCATCATAATTTAGATATCTTATATATTTTATTATATCATATGTATTCTCTGTAATTTTGCATGCATTTTGAAGCTTCCTATAAATGTATAAAAATACACATAGTATAATTCCGTCTAATAATAATAATAAAAAATCTTTTGGTTGTATAATTAACTGCATATGCAGTTTCGTGATTTTTTCTTTCAATTTATTTATGTGAATAAATATGAAAAATATTGTAATTTTTTCAAAATTTCAGAATATAATTTTCATTGATAACTGAATTAGTATCTACAAAATATTCAAAATCCTTCTTTAAATACTTGAAATTTGTTAAATATAGATTTCTATTATATTGTCGCAAACAGTTAAAAAAAATGTACGAAATATTACATAAAACACTCTGCATTAATAATATTGAAAATTTATCAAATATCTGTTATTAAAAACTTACTACTTTTATTTGTAGAATTTAATATGTAACATTGAAATTCTGTGTCTATTCTTATAGTTTATCATTTAAACTATTTTCAGAGAAATAATTAGTTTATATACAATAATTTAATAATATAAAAATATGTCAATGTTGCAAGATAAAATTTATTTAAAAAATTCTTCAAATTGTAAAATTCAGCATATTTCGAATGATCAGTAGAAAAAATATAATTTAGAATTTTTTTTTTCTTGTGATGTGCTGAGTAGTTTGTAGATAATAAAAACAGAAATATGTGTATTTTTTAAAATTGGATGTTCACTATCGTCTACTATGTTTAAGAATTAAAATATAAACAAAGAATAAAAAATAGAAAGCTATTCTTTTCATTTTAATTATTAAATTCACATTTGATTACTAAATTATTGTAAAAATGATATTTCATCGTATTTAAAAATTTTATTGACTATCATGTTATTATAAAAATCAATGAGAGTTAACTGCGTTTGTAAAAATTAATCATATAATATCGACCAAAATATTCTACTATAAATTTTAAACAAAAAAATATGTGCATGGCTTTTTCTTGAAATGAAAATCTTCAATTCAAATTACGATATATAATTCTGGAATTATATTTAATCAAAAATATGGTGGAAAAACAAACTTTTATAGATTCAAATAAACAATATCATGATTAACAATAATTAATAGTCATAGTTTATTTATGTCTTAATTTATGATATGTTTTGATGATATATTTTAAATTATTTATTCGAATCATACAAAAAATAATATATTGAACAGTATATTAATTTTTACATGCTGCGCACCGGCCAAAAGATTAGGTACACGTTTTGTGCATTATATGTTTCATTAAAAATTACAGAGTTTTTAATATCGATATGTACTTTCAATATCAATAGTGATTTTTGTGTCCAGAATATTTTAGTATACATATATGTTGTGTACAAGAAATGCTTATCGCCGTGTAATATCGTCAAAAAATTAATTTTATATATTGAATATTAAATAGTAATTATAAAACATTAATTGATAATATTATAAATCAATATCATGATAAATTAATAATAAATATTATAATAATTTAATATTATAAATTACTACTATTATTAAAATTTATTGGCATAGTTCTCATTTACTTATTATGACATTATTATTACATTATTATATAAATATGATATTATCGCAGTATTATCATATTATAATACTATATATTATTATAACATTTATTATCACATTTTTCTTTTATTATTATTTTCATTTATTATCACATTTTTCTTTATATTAGTTTTCATTTTACATTTATAATATAATTATATTATTCATAGTATTACAATATTGTAAATTAATATTTTATAAAGTGCTTTTTAAAATACTATAAAATAGTAAATATTAAACCAAATATAAAATACAAATGCCACAAAAGTACGCTCAAACTTTTGGCCAACATTGTATCATAAATATGCACGCTAAACAAAAAATTTGCATAATAACCAAAACTGTTCGTAATTATTCAAAGGAATAATCATCGCACAAGTGGATATAACACGAATGAGATTGCATAAGATCGAATTAAAGAAAGAAAGGATTAATGTTTCGTTAAATGCATCTAGGAGCAGTACATCAACGGCTGCAACTGCATTTGCAATTGCAACATCTGCGTCAAGCAACCCGCCAGACAAGAACACTGATAAGGATAATCGCAGCGGCTCTTGTGACAAAAGCAGATGGAAGGAATCGGTTATGTCAACCGCAACCATGATGCGAGTCTTAAAAGTTTTGAGGCATTGGATCTCAAAACATCCTCAAGACTTCGAGTCTGATCAGAGGTTGAAAAATTTAACAATCAAGTTCCTCGAAGATATCATTCACTGGCCTAATCTCCTTCCCGCTGAACACAAAGCCGTGAGCCAACTTCTTCGATTGATCTCGAAGGAACAACTGGAGAATAACGAAGAAGAACTGAGAATTCTATTGGCTCCTCCTACTGTACGTATGTATATGCAGAATAAATATTAAACAAATAACGGATAATCCAATTGAACGCTGTGATTTTTGCACTTTTTCCATTAATATTAATTGAGAAATTTTACTATTCTGAGTAAAAATATAAACACGATTTCAGATGAAAATTAAGCAAACTATTGAAACGCTCTCGCCACTTGAAATTGCAGAACAGATGACGTATTTGGATCACAAGATTTTTATGGCTCTTTCGAGCAAGTAAGTTAGCAAAAATTAATGTTAATTAATTCATCATGAAAAGATTAATTATTACATAAATTGTAGATTATATAAATCTCTGTTGTTTTAAAACACAGCTGTGAAAACTAAATTTAATTTATTACTGAAATTATTGCATTAGGATTTAATTCAGTTACAAATATAATTTAATATAATATAATTCGATATAAAATTATAATGAACTAAATGAGTTAAATTTACTTTAAATTTTTTTATTTAATTTAGAAATTAAAAAATAAATTTAATAAATTGAAAAGATAAAAATGAATTAGAGTAAAGGAGATAAAGCTCGTTTCACTAGTATTCAATGATATACAAATGCTGAAGTTTCTATAATGTTTAACGCGTATTTTTGCGCAGAGAGTTTCTTGGACAGGCATGGTTAAAAACTGACAAAGCTACACGCGCTCCCAACATTTCGCTACTGACGAAAAGATTCAACGAAGTGTCACAATTGGTTGCTTCCGAAATTGTTAGACGGAAGAGTGTGCCAGCGAGAGTTGCAATGATCGAGAAATGGGTTACAATCGCAGATTGCAACAAAAATTTACACAATTACAACGGGATATTACAGATTTGTGCAGCTTTCTCGAACAGCAGTGTTTTCAGATTGAAAAAGACCTGGGACAAAGTTCCAAAAGCGGTAAATAAAAATATAAATAGCCATACACTAAATTTAGTTCTTGAATAACCATACTGGGTCAATTTAATTTACTCGTGTTTTTTTTGTTTATTTATATCCTTTGGAATAATATTTCACAATTGAAAATATTAATTATTATACAAAAAAAAAAAAGAAAAGACAAAAAAATGATCATGGATTTCTGCAGAATTAATAAATTATCGTGCCAGTATTGCGAATGTTAGTGAAAAATAATAAATCCAATAACAAACTGTTTCGTTTGTTTCATTCATAGACGATTCAAATGATGGAAAAACTGCAAAATATCGTGTCGTCAGATGGACGTTTCAAAAATCTGAGGGAAGCTTTACGTCGATGCGATCCACCTTGTATCCCTTATATAGGAATGTATCTATCTGATCTTTCTTTCATAGAAGAGGGTACCCCAACTACGACCGAAGACGGCCTTTTGAACTTTTCCAAAATGAGGATGGTAAACAATTTCTTTCTCTTTGTGGTATAATATTATGTTAAAAATAAAGATAGTCGTTATTGTAAGAATTAATACAAAAAAACAAATAAAATATTACGATTCAATGAATTAGAAACGAATGAATGAATTCGTAATTGGAGCCAGTTTCTTAATAGTGGAACTATCAACTAAAGTATAACACTAATTTTTAATACTATAAATAAAGTAAAAATACTACAAACTGTTATTTATGTAGTTATTGAAAATTATTTTAGTTTCTAAAAATGTATCATTGTAAGTCTATGAAGTTTCTATAAAACATCATGAACTAATGTTTTTTTCGTATATAATTACTAAATTAACAATTCCAAATGTTACAAAATGGCAGACTCATTTACTAGTTTCAAAACCTGATTTCAGTTGTTAACTACTATTTCTGCAAAGAGTTCGTGAAATAAAAAAATTCTGTTAAGCTACAAATAGATAATGTATGTCTTAGTATAACATGGATTTTCAAAAATTTTAATTACTACAAATACAATTACGGTTAGCAATAGGAAACTTATTTTCACCAAAAATTGATTTTATAAATAATTTATAAATAATTATGTAATAATATTGAAAAAATCATACATTTTAGATAATATATTTCTTTTTATAAATCAATAAGAATTTTTTATTGCATTTTTTTATAACGAAATGAAATTTTGACACAAGGAAAAGTAGTTTAATATTTACAGCAATGCCAAATAGGAGTTATTATATATTAATAAAACATTTATCATTAAACATTTATCGTAATTCACATTTGTGATAGTTTTACATTGATATATTGAACATTTACAGTGGTATCTTAAATACCTTAAATATCAAACTGCAGCTTCTCAAAAAATTGGAATTTTTCATTTAATAATTAGATTGTTCTTAGACTCTTATAGGAAATTTTAAAATATAATATTGGATAGAATGCACATTATACAAAAAAATATATAAAATATCCAAAATATAGTGCTTTTTATATTATTTCGTACGTAAAACAACAATTTTCTACCAAGATTACTTTTTTAATAAATTTATTTAATATTAAATAAATGTTAAATAATAAATGTAAATAAATATAAATAATAATATTAAATATTATGATATTATTATATTTGTTTAATATGATCTCATATAAAAATTCGTACTTTAGCAAAGATTCACTCTTATTTCTGGATAATTCAAGACGGCTCAACACTTCAATAAATTCAATTTAACATTTCACTCGTTGAAATTTCAAATTTTTCAATTTATTTCCAGATTGCCCACGTGATTCAAGAAATACGTCAATTCCAGCAAGGATCGTACAACATCGAACCGATAGCGAGGATTATGAATTATCTGTTGGATCCATCGTTGCAGATCGACGACGATAATTTATATCGCATGTCCTTGGAAATCGAACCAAGATCATCCAAGCTAAATAGTTCAAGCTTACTTCATCTGACATCTTCCGTCGACCACAAATCTAAAAAACAAATTTAAGTATCTACTTCAGTTACAATTAATATTAAGTTACTTCAATTATCAATACGTAATTTATATTTGTCTTATCTTTCAGCTATTTTGCAAATCAAGTTGCCTGAGCAATTACTTCACCGCTGTTGCTTCGTGACTAATTCTAAGTCATTAGGCCAGTCCGTAAAGGCTACATTGTATATAGATAATTGTTACATACGCCAGATGTAGAATCAAATGGGTGTGATGGGAATGGCTCATTATCAACAGGTCTGCGTACAGAATCAACGTAAAAATGTTTCAAATTTCATATTTACACTTTGTAAACGATTAAGTTTATTGTTTTTTTTTTGTTTTTTTTCATCTTGATTTCTTTTCCTATTTTTTTTTTTTTCAGTTGTTTTCCTCATTTAGAACAGACCTACTGGTAGCCCGTCAATCATACCATCTCTATTGCCCTCCTAATGAGTCATCCCCATATTCATCTGATAATGAGTAAGACTCACGTCTTGTACACGGATTAGATTAGTGAAGAAACTGGAAGACTAATGACAGGAATCGTGAAACAATGGCAGGAAAGAAGTTGCTCAGGCCTGTTCTACTATAAGCGCTTCAGAATTTATCGATTTCAAAAAATAAAAAAAATAGAAAAATTTATTTCTCCAGAGATTGCTGCAAAATCAATTAAAACTAGTCTCGAACGTGTTAACTCGTTGCCTTGCAATTCTGTTTTCGTTCTTTTATTGTATTTTTTTTTTTTCGTCGATAGTAACAGCCATTAATTATCAGATAATAAATATTGAAATTTTATATATATTTGTACTTATTAATCTTCAATGTAAAGAAATTAAATTTCGAATTCAAATCCCATATTTTCTCTTTTAACCACGAGCGTGACTTGATTACAAGATAATTTGAGGGTTAATTTATTTTAGAAAGAGAATCAAAAGATTTGCCACCTGTTTGTTTGGAGAAAAAAAAGAAGTAAAATTTAAGTTTATGCATTGATTTTCAATATTGATTACATTCGAACATTTAAATTGCTTTTTATTCAATGTATCATTTCCTGAAATGGAATTAGAATGAAATAGAATAGTGGAATAAAATTTCAGAAAATGATACATTATATATTTTTATGTATAATTTATTAACTTATAACCCGTTATATATTGAAATATGGTAAAACCTGGCGTATAAATGTGACACATGTTTTAACACATTTTCCGCAGACGTGGACATCGAAACGAGCTATTTTTCAATGACTACTTTTTGAGCTAATCATTCTCTATCGATGATTCAGATGATACATTTACATTGTATAAATATATCTATGACGAAAGAATAATATGTATTTAGTTATTGTACATACAATGAAAAGCATAATTGTACAAATGACAATGAAAAATTATCGATAATTTATTGACATAACTTTGTAAAAAAGAATCAAAGTAACGATCAAAGTAAAAGCTGAGATCAAGTGGATTGTCGTACGTCCTGTTTTTACAAAGTTATATCAACTTGAATTATCGACAATTTTTTCATTCTTATTAGTACAGTTATGCTTTTCACTATGTATACGAAATATATCGCTCAAAAATGTTGTTGAAAGTGTATGTAAATAAATGTTGAAAGTAAATAGACTATAAGCTGCGCGATTTACTTGAACCATGTATGAGACTTTAACGTTAATATTTTCGTTAATGACAAATACGCAAGATTACTCACTCTGAAATTTATAAATTATATGAGAACAAATATGTATTCATCTACGATGAAGTTAAATGAAATAAATACTATAATAAAATACATAAATGCAATTTTTCATTTTTTGTTTTTTTCTTTTTATATATTTCGTTCAACGTTGCAGCGAGTATTTTAACTTCTTGAATACTTAGAATTATCGAAGATTTAGATTAAATTTACATTAAATATTTACATTGCATTTATGTACATTAAATATTTATATTAAACACTCAAGAGGTTAAATCAATTATGAATTTCAAAAATTAATATATAAACTTTATATTCGTATAATTACATTTTAGAAAAATTTCATTTTGTCTGCTAATTGTTTCATCATTGCATTTCATCAACACATCGGTAGATCATGGGTCGGATGTCAACGGTGGCTGAGCACTATATATTCGTGTTCTTGCAAAAAACTGGACCAGGAAAAGATTTTTGATGCCACTTTCCACAGAATGAGTGATCATTTCGTGAGCGGAAGGCAGTTTGTCCAGTTTATTCGATACATTCCATTAAAACTAATTGAACGGAGCCGACTTGTCAAGTTCTCGAAGAGTCCCTGGCGAATTTCGAGTCAACAAGTGTATCTCAGTGATCGACGAGGAATTCGCGATCTTGTGTCCCAACATTGGCACACGAGTCTTCGAAGACCGTTGTCGTGGTTAAAATATTTTCGAAGCGTTCGAGTCGACGAGATGGAAAAGATACACAAGTATCAGCCTGCTAACACTGCGGCGGCGCGAGTACGTTATCGAGATCCTGGAAACTTGGGATCGAAACAACGAGCGCCAGTTCGCTCTGCTGTGTGTATGCTGCCTTGATGAAACGCTTCGTAGTGTCCGAGACCGTAGCCTGACCTTGGAATATCCGACAATATCGGATTCTGAGAGCCGGTCCCCATGGTGTCGGTAAAAGCGACGCCCTCAGCAGATCCTGTGGCTCCAATCCCTGCACATTATGATTAACATATTATCATCAAGCGTACCTTGCAACTCTAGTCTCTGTAAATCTCCATTTACGCTTATTGTCACAGCCTTCAATTGCAATATCTATAAATTTGTGTCCCTTTGCCCTTCTTTTTAATAATTTGAAGCGTTAGTTTCGTCGGTAGGGTTATTGAAGATCCGGCGATCGCTTATGAAAATAGCTATAGTCTTAGATATAAAAAGGAAGTTGTATCAGAATAGTTGGTAATGTATTCAACGATTGGTGAATCATTCTATCTAACTCGGTAGCTACAGTCATATAGCAAAATACTGTATTTTTTCTTTTGTATTTTATTTGGTTTAATAAATAAATACATTTAACAATAAAAGTACATTTATATTGAAATGTCTTTTTGAATCATTAATATGTTAGTTAATTATTAATCAATAAATTAGTTGTAGCAGATTATTTGTAAGATATTCTAACTAAACATTCAAATTTTGGTTAAATATACCAATTATGAATTTCTAAAATTGGCATATTAACTTTATTTTGAGAATTTTATTTTATCTGCTCATTGCTTTGGCATTGCATTTTATCAATACATCATTAGAAATGAATTACTTTAACAATTGTTAATATCCTTAACAAATCTTAAAGTAGAGATTAAATATTACGTATAAATTGGAGCATATAAAGTTTAAATTTACTATTTATCATTGATTAACTACCATAATTGTCAATCATCATAATTCTATAAATCATCATATAGTGTTTATATTTATAAAAATACATTCAAAATTTATTACAGGAACAATATTGAAAAATATAAATAAATGACTGCAATGAATGTAGAAAGTATTTGTACACATGATGAAAAATTGAAAAATTTGAAAAGATCCTTGGAAAGAGAAGAATTCAATCTTGATAGATTTAGTTATGAAAAAAATTTTTTTTCTGTATCTATAAAGACGTTTGAATTTGCAAAATTTTCGGAAGAAAAAATACTATTACATACTCTCTTTAAATGTATGTGAATACATTTTTCAGAAAAACAAATTGAATATTGTGAAAGTCAAAGTTTTACACTTATAAAAATACGCGTAGATAGATCTACGATTGTTTCATTCATAAAGTTATATTTTCTTTACGCTTAAATTACCGAAAACTTTTACTTAATATACCGAATGTGAATTAAATGAAAATATATACTCAATATACGCCTTTAAAAAACGACAATTCATATACATCAATTTAATAAATATATTTAACCAATAATCTTTTCTTAACATTAAAATTAATTCAACTAAAAACAATCGAATATTCTAAACGCAAAATACTTTTATGAGATACAAATAAAGTATACAAAACTCCAACCTCGTTATTAATTTTATTATCATCACGTGTTTATTATTATTATCATCAACATGTATTGATATGGCTTTAAAAAAAAAAAAAAAAATGTACAAACATATACATGTATATCTTAAAAATCTGTATGCATGTATGACATTTTTAAGATTAGAGATTCAAATTCTAAAGACTCATATCAAAAGGGAATTATATTTAAACAGATTTCGAATAAAATAATGAGAGGAAAAAAAGAAACATTAAAGCAAAAATATTCGTGCAAGTTAATATATAGTGATTAATATAACTATACCAATAACAATGAAAAATTATCGATAATTTAAATTGATATAATTTCGTAAGAAAGGATAATATAACGATCTACTCATTTTAAAGCGCGAAAACTACAATTCCGTAAGGCCATTTTCTTCAAAATGATTGTATATCATGTAGCGAGTGGAAAAACAAGCATCGTTCTTTCACGAAAATTATGATCACCATTGTGATCTTGAAGATTAAAATTTTCAAATTTTCGAGAGTTTAAATTTTTACAATTTTCAATAAAAGTATCCTTATTTTTCCATCCGCTATATAATGTAAAAATATTAAAAAAAAAAAAACGAACTAAGAGTACTCAAAGAGATCAGATCCCATGATTTTAAAATTAAATTATCCTAATCTATTGTACATTGTTATTTTGGTTCCAACCACATCTAACCCGCGTGGGAAGTTAGAGTTGAAAGTATGCGGATACTACTTAAAGTTTGTCTTTAAAGTGCTGTATCAAAGTTAATTAGGAATTGCGTAAACTCCTTTTTCTTATGAAATTCATTTATTGCTCTTTAAAATTATGTATTATCATTTTAATTTACATTCATATATATTACTGTAATATAAGTAAGTCAAAATCATGTTCAATTTTTGCGTGACAAAAGTATTCGAACACCTGGAATTTGTATACGCGGATCTCCTCATTGTCAAGCTTGTTTTGTACGTGATTGAACAATGTTTCGGTTACGCGTCACTTTGACACTTTCAACGAAAGCGTAAACACCAAGTGTTAGTATTGGGACGTAGAGGAAGAAATACTAATTTTGATAAACGTCAGTTAGTCACATTTCATAGAGAAAAAAACGTTTAACGTATCGTGAAATTGCAAATTTATTATGCATGAAAACAAGTACAGTCGCAGATATTGTTAAGAGGTACAGGAAAGAAAATCGTAACGCGCACTGAATGAAAGAGAAGAGCGATGAATTATTAGAAAAATTGAAAAGAAATCCTGAAATTAGTGCTCCACAGTTAACATCGCACTTGTTCGAACGTACACATAAAAAGATACATACAAATACAGTACGTAGAGTACTTAACACTCATCGATACAATGGGCGAATTTATATTTGAAGACCAAAGTAAATTTAATGTCTTCGGAAGTGATGGGAGAAAAATGATGTGGCATAAAAAAAAAATGAGCAGTTACTAACAAAACATTTGAATCGAACTGTTAAACACTGTGGAGGAAATGTGATTGTGTAGGGTTGCATTTCAAGCGTTGGAGTTTTTATCGATGGCATCATGGATAAAAATAAATATATAAGTATTTTACGAAACAATTTACTCAAATCTGCGGACAATTTGGGAATTCGTGAAACTTTCAAGTTTTATCAGGACAACGATCCTAAGCATAAGGCACGGATTGTCCAAGAATATTTGTTATACAACTGCTCGAAAGTTTTGCCGCACCGCAATCACCAGATCTGAACTCCATAGAAAATCTGTGGGATGAACTTGATTCGAGAAAATTCGCAAAATCCGAATCCGCAGTAAGACAGAATTGATGATAAGATTAACAGAAGAATGGAATTCTATCAGCTTAGAATATTTAAAAAAAAAAAGAAAAAAAATTTCGAATATGCCGAAAGACTGAAATACGCGATTCAGCAAAAGGGGCATTCAACTAAATATTAATATTGCATTTACTTCATTCAAGATGTACAGAAACAGTTTTTTTCATAAATGTCCGAATACTTTTGTCACGCGATAATCGAATATGATTTGAACTTATTTATGTTATAGTACTGTATATGAATATATATGAAAATGATGATACATAATTTTGAAGAGCAATAAATAAACGTTTCATAAGAAAAAAGAGTTTACGCGATTCCTTCGTGATTACCCTGATACAGCACTTTATAGTCAACTTTAGATAGTTTTCGAATACTTTTGGAAGTAACTGTAGGTGGTGAGAAATGGAAGATAGATGGTAAGTAGGCGACTTTTTTGCCAGTATTTTAAACAATGTTGGAAATAAATAACAAAATGTTAAGAATTTTTGAATTTTTGTCGTTGATATTGTCTCTGATATTCAAAATTCTACAGAATGGAAGAAAAAAATCGTACGGTAGAAAAAAACTTTAATTTTCAAAACCACAACAGTGATCGCAATTCTTTAATATTTATGCATGAATTTTGACAATTTTCAAGAAAGAAGTATCCTCATTTTGCCAGTCGCTAAATAATCTAACATCATTTTTAAAGATAATCATTTTTAAACGAAATCACGACTGTTGAATTACAAGCTTCACGTTCTAAAATGAGATCAATTGAGTCGTTGTATGTTATTTTCTTACGAAATTACAATTTTTTTACAATTTTTCATTGTCTTTGGTACAGTTTCGCATGTCAGGCATGAATGGAAATTGATAAAGTTATAGTCC